TATTTAAAGTCAAATAGATTGGTTATGAAATTTATGAGATGAGACTTGCAACATTCCATTTAAGAAAATTTACCTAGCTTATGTAAGTATAAATGCAAAAAAAATAATATTTGCTTTTTTTCATTATTATCCTACCTAATATCAGGGAAAATTTAACTATATGTTAACTAAAACAATAAAGATAACATGTGTGTGCATTAGCTTAAGGCATTTGTTAGTTTTAAATTAGTTACTTATTTCAAAGGCTTGACCAAATGTTGACACATGTAAAATATAGGTAAGGCTCAAGTTTTCGAAACCATTAATAATGAAAGTGTAAATGTAATTTTACTTAAAAAAAAAAAGGAATTCTGGCCAACTTTAATGAAGTAAAAGATATTTGATCAAAAATTATAAATTATAAGGAGACATCCCCTTTCTTTAATGTTTCAAGTGTAGCATAGTGTTGAAACTTTCTTTGTTTATGAACTAAAACTATGGATAAAGGTGTAGAAGGCTTAAAAGGCTTTTTATGGTGGTGTAAGATGAAATGAGAAGTGCTGGCTTCTTTGAAACTTGAAGCTAAGATAAATGACAAATCATTCGTGCTTTTCTAGCATTTTAGGAGAGGTTGGTTTTCTCATTATTTATAGCATGAGGGTGGAATATATTTTTTTCATTTCTCTTTTCAACTACAAAAAATAGATATTGTACCTCTAACAAACTTCTGCAAAAATTTTAACAAGACCTTGCTAGCTCTTATATCTTTAATTAAAAAAAAAAGAATAAGAAAATTTTCTCCAAATAAAAATTTTTTTAGCTTTTTTTGTGTTTCTTATCTAGAAAAATAAAAACAATCAAAAATGATAAATTAACATAAAACCAAGACCAAAATTGAAATTCTTGACTTGAAAACAAGAATGAGATCTCATTCTCATAGGTTAACTAGCAAATAAATTTGAGAAATAGAAATTGGCATTAATAATACAACAATTCAACAAACTTATGTATTATTATCAAGTAAGGTTTAAGGATTAGACAAGAAAGATCTACTCCAAGCACTTGTAATACATTTCCATGAGAAATTGAATAAGGGATACAAAATATCTTTGCTTTGACAAACAAAGAAAAACTAAAAGTTGCGGGCAACATTATGATATCATCACTATGAGTATTGCTGGCAAGGGTGCAAATTGGGAAATGTTAGGGCTAGAAAATACAATAGTTTGAATTAGGACCAAGGGGATTTCCATCACTCCATGTGTTACTGTCTTCATAACCTTCCAATACTGTCGGTGTCATCGAGAGGAATGAAAATGAGGAGTCGATGGTAAGGTGAGACTAGGAAGTGAGATAAAAGAAACATTAGAGCTAGAAAGTAGAAAAAAAATGGGATCCATGATGTTTCATTATTTCATGTTTTGTCCTCAGTCCTTTGGAGTTTAGTGTTTTGATTTTGCTTTACATAAACAAAATAAAAAATCTCAAGAGTGGAGAAGGTATGGGTATGAAAATACATATGATAGTGGATTCAAATTGGGTAGTGATAGGCCTAAAATAAAGTTATAAATGTTAAGTTGTGTTCAAGTTTTTGCTCTTTTTTGGTTAAATAAACTGTAAAGTCAAACTAATAACAAAAATTGAAATTTTAAAGCAATAAATTAAAATGTTCTATTATGACTAAACCAAATAGAAAAAACTTGCTCAATTCAATCGTTTAGTTTTAACCTAATAATGTATGGTCTAACAACACCTTTCAACTTCTCATTTTAAAAACCATAAAAAATAAAATAAATTTTGTGAAAATCTCCTAATGCTATTTTTAGAAACTCATATATACTAGCTATCTTTAATTTCTAAAGATAGTCAGATAGATAAGATTTTGCATGATTAAAACTAACTGCTTTAATAATAAAAAAATTTTGCAAAATAAATTTATGAATACCAATAAGGTTTGTATTATAATTTTAGAGAGATCCCAATTATATAACAATACAATATTTATATCAACTGAAATCTCACAAATTATCAAATGAACTTTTTTCCGGTTCATTAGCTAATATGTGATCCATATCTAGTCATGAATTCAAGGAATTTTCATTATCCTTAATAACATACTCCAAAATTATTAATGGACACTTGAAGATATCCTTTTATTCTTTTATATCATGAGTTTAAAGGCTAATAATTTGTAATTTTTATCAAAAAAACCATGCAACATGATGATTGTAGATCTATAAATCTTTGGTTAACAACATAATCACACTTTTATTAAATATTAAAAGGCATTTTTATGATACAAAAATGATAAAAAAATCATAAAAAAACATAATACATTTATGTGGAAATTTAAGATCTAGATATTAACCAATAAAATTGCTATCTCTCTATTGATACATATGATTTGACAATTTAACTATTAAATGTATGATGAAATTTCACTACCTACTGCATTCCTTCTTCTTTAGAGATGTTTGCTATGTTTATCATCCAAACTTTTATGCCTTAAAAAGTGTCTTCACCTATGGGGATGATAAAAAAATCATAAAAAAACATAATACATTTATGTGGAAATTTAAGATCTAGATATTAACCAATAAAATTGCTATCTCTCTATTGATACATATGATTTGACAATTTAACTATTAAATCTATGATGAAATTTCACTACCTACTGCAATTCCTTCTTCTTAGAGATGTCTGTTATGTTTACCATCCAAACTTTGATGCCTTAAAAAGTGTCTTCACCTATGGGTTAGAGAGGATAAAATGCACATAGATCCATTAGGTAATTCCTCTTACTAGATAATTATACAAATTATTTATATGTTTTCTATATTCATAGTTTTATCCACTTAAATTTTATAAATTTTATATCTTTATTTACAAACTAAACATATAGGGCAATATCTTATGTCTCCCTTTCCACAACATCTTCCATCTCAATATGACTAGTAAATGTTGTGACAAATTATGTCTTCCCTCCTCCCTACCAACCAATGTATCACAATCTACACCTATAATTTTATTCTCTTTATTAAAAAACCAATGAATATCATTCCATTTCTACTCCAATCCTAAATAATTACTTTTTAGTTTCTTATATGACATATTAATGCAATTAAAAGGGGGAAGGTACAAACTCATTTTTATTTTTATTTTCTCTATGTACTTTCTCATCTACTTCTTTCTTAGTGTGACCACCACACTCTACAAAGAATAAAAATGTTGGTCTCTGTTTTATTTTGCATTTTCTTAACTAAGAGAGGCTAACGAGGAGTATGTATAACCGAATTATACAAATTATCTTTATAATCTTTATACAAATTATCGATATAAATAGTGTAATTTAAGGAAAGTTCCTCTAAAAATTTATAAAATGTATATCGTTCAACAACTTTTTCTATCACCTCTAGTTCTATTTTGAGTCTAGTAATATAATGTATCTTCATAGGAATAATCATATGGGACATTCACATAAAAAACTAAGCAAATTGAATGAAATAAGTTCATATAAAATAAGGGGAAAGAAATAAGGTTCCTTGATTAGATTGAACCCCATTCAAATCCTTACTTAAATTATGAAGTTCAAAATTTTGGTTGGAATTCAATCCTCTTTTTTGATTTCAAGCTCCAATCTAATGATTTAAGAAAAATTTTTAACTTATGTTCGAAGCTTAATTAAAAAATGATCAAATTATTTTTTCTCGTTTATAGTCAAATTATAAGTTAGTAAAACATGTTAAGCATGTTATATTTGTTTTAAATCTTATTCAAAACTAAAAAATTCAAGTTCAAACAAGATTCAAATTAGGATAGAATACAATTCAAACCTTATTTGAACCACATTTTAATGTTGTCAAAATCACATATCACACTTATAAAGAACTCACTTGTTCAAATATGCATATTATGAGATGCATAAAGCCTTTTTTTCCCTTTAGAGTGAAATCATAGGAATTGGGTAGCATGCATGTAAGGCTTCGTTTGGGGCAACTTATTTGCTGTGGCGGCGTTTTGAAAACGCTTCGTTTGGGGCAACTTATTTGCTGTGGCGGCGTTTTATTTGCTGTGGCGGCGTTTTGAAAACGCTGCCTCACTATTTGGAAGTTGTGTTTGAACAACTTATTCTAAAACATAGTTCATTTTTTACACTAAACACGGAACGCAGGTCGAACCCCACTGTCTTCGTTTCCAGATAAGCGGTTTATCTGGATAAGCACAAGCTGCCCCAAACACCCCTTAAATGTGCCCGAATAAATATTGAATGAAGCTAAATAAGGAATTCCAAATGGGCTTGGACTCGTTGATTTAGGAAAATACTTATACCAATTATATATTTGAATATTATATTTTACTCTAAGAAATAGTGGCATTTATCAACATACCACCCAATTCCTATGTGTTTACATATCTGACACCTATCTTTTTTTACATTTTAACCTCCCAAATCATTTATGTGATATAAAACATATCATCATCTTTTCTTTTTAAAAGTGGAGTCCATCTTTCAAAGAATGCTTAATGCTGCCTATATGTAAAATTTAAAATTTAGGTATATTAAATACGTAAATACATAGGAATTGAGTATATACATGTAAATCTTTCATTAACAAAAATACATTCATACCACTTTATTTCGATGCAATTATATATTTAATATATAAATTTTAAAATTTTCATATATGTTATTTTACTTATGTCTTGAATTTTGTATTTTATTTTTTCTAAATGGATATGATAGGAGAGATTTAAGAACAAATATTACATCTGAACTTTGGATGTAGAGGTATGTACGGAGTCCAATGAAATCACGCCACGCGGAGTTGACAGAAAAATAAAAAAAAAATCGTTTTAGCACAGGAGAATATTCTCGCTGTGTTATTTCGCATTATTCAGATGTTATTGTGGTGTTACAATAACACAATAACACCTGAAAAAGCAAAAAAATACAGGAGGAATATTCTCCTGTGTTACCGAATCACAGGAAAGAGCGCGCGTTTATTTGAAGCAACGTGTACGCATATCAGTGAACTCCGAACGCATCTCTACGTTGAGAGTCCTGAGTCCTGATGGAATAATTTTCCGAGATTTAGAGGTTATAACTGTAAAAAGTAAAGTTTAGGTATTGCAGACTTAAATACATAAGAATTGAATGGTATGTATGTAAATGCCCGAAAAAATAGCACGGTTGTTTACTCGCATACGAACAATTTAATTCCAGGAAGATCGAATTTCGCCGGTCGCCGCCATGGAAGGCTACAAGCTTTGGGTGCGGAGAAACAGGGAGTTCGTGCACTCTCTGGAATCCGTTGCGAATGTAAGTAAACCCTAACTCCCTCCTCTCTCATACTCGATTTAGTCTTTTTTATCTGTTTAGTTGGCATTTGGCAGCACAATTTACACAGTATTTTCTGTTTTTTTGTGCCCGATTTACGTTCCACTTGAACTCTCCTCAAGTCAAATGCTTTATCTGAATCCAACTCTTGAATCCTTGACTAGGGCTTGACATGGCTTCTTCCAGAGCGCTTCTCCAACAACGAGATAGGCCCTGAAGCAGGTTCTGTTCAATTTTGGTAACTTTTATCGATCTTGTTGCTGTTGTTGTTGCAATTGTAATTGAGATTACCAATCTTTTTTCCATGTTTCGATTCATCGGTTCTAATTTCCTGTAGTGGAAGAAATAAAGTATAAGAATAATGTTAGATTTAGTTTTATCTGGGAGTTAAATTTGACATATTTGAGTTGATTTTATAGTATATGCTTTCCTGGGCATAGTCGGTGCTGTGAATCAACACATAATCAACGCAAACCCCGGAAAATGTCAGCCTCCGGGTTCGGAGGAACAGATTCCATGGTCTTTGTGCATTTCCATGCTCAAAGATTTGGAGACTGTAGTTGAAGTTGCTGCCGAGCACTTCTATGGCAAGGAGGGGAAGTGGAACTTCATTATAATCTTGGAGTTAACGAAGTAAGACAGTTCTTGATGGACTAGTTGTGCTGAACTTGTTTTTTTTTTTTTTATAACTTATGAGGTTGACATGTGACATATGTCATTGGAATTTAGGGCATTGGTTAGATTAGGTTCATTTCATGACAGTGGATACAATATGCTTCTTCAAGGTGGGGAGGTACTTAATGTCAAGACGTTTTCGGAGCTTCCAGAAGCTCATCTTGGTGGACTCAGGAATCCAGGATTGAGTGCTGGACATTGTGGACCTGGGCAATTACAGCATTTAAATGGCCAAATACCTCCAGGTCTTGAAGGCAGAGCCATGGCAGCTCTGAACAAGTTTGGGGACAAGGCTAGGATGGCATCTGATCAAAAGTTGTTGAAAAGCTTTCATTTTAAACCTCCTGGTATGGTCTGCTTCTGTAGATAGTAATCTTCTTCGTTTTCAACTAAGAGTTTGGCATCTCCTTCATAATATAATTTTTGTAAATTGATATTTTGATCGCAGCTGTGATGTTCAAGAAGCAAACTCTTTCAACCATTTTGTCTCAAAAAGGAGTCTATGGCATGTCTTTTGTGTTGGGCGAAGTTATCTCTATATTGAGACCACTTATTTATGTTATTTTGATTCGAAAGCTTGGAATTCAAGCTTGGAAGCCTTGGTTTTTTTCTTTGGCTATCGAACTTGCTGGATTCAGCTTTCTCTTGTATGGAACAAGCACCAGTGGTAGAACTGGAGATAAACTTTATCATCCTTCCGCACCAGAGAAAGACGAGGTAAGTGAGTTGCACTTCTCTGTTGTAAATAATAACTATCTTTTCTCTTTTAAATCATACATCCTGCTTCAAATTTGTGAAAGCTGTAATAAGTTTGTTTCATGTGATAGTTTTTTCTCTTAAACTAGGCGATGCTTCAAATTTGTGAAAGCTGTAATAAGTTTGTTTGATAGTTTTTTCTCTTAAACTAGGCGAGTAATAACTTGTTTATTTCTCAATGCTTGATATGTTTGTTAATACTACTTGCACTTTCCTTGGTGTTAATATTTGCATCATTGATCTTGATTAGATCAAACGACGGAAACTGATATGGGCACTTTATGTCATGAGGGATCCATTCTTTACTAAGCATACAAAGTATGTGTAGACTACTCCATGTACCTCTTGAAGATTGTTTTTTTATTGTGAAATAGTTTCTAACTCCTTTTATTTTCTCAGGCATCGTCTTGAGAAAATTGATAAACTGATGAACCAGATCCCATTTATTGGGTTCCTCACAGGTTTTCCTTAATTTCTCTACAATAAGACAAGCTCCTATTGCTTTTTATTTTTTCATTGACATTGATGATATTACTGGGTTTTCTGTCTTTTTGGTGTTTTCTAAGGATGCACTTTCACTCTTTGTTGCAGGTAAAATTGTTGAGCTGCTAGTTGGAGCTCAAACTCGCTATACTTACACGTCAGGTTCATAAGATACTTAAACCATCAGCATGTGGCTACCTCTTGTAGGGTTTTGTTTGTCATTTATTGCAAGGATCTGGTTTCTTGAACATGAAGATGCATACCCACTGCATTACTTGAGCATCTTTCAACTGAAAGCTATGTAAATTAACGATTTTGTTCACCCATACATTTTGATAGATGTTTATAATAGTTCTCAGTTGGAATGAGCAATTTGTTGTGCCCTCTTTTCTATTGATGTTCTTATTACTATCATATTTGGTCATTTATTATGGTGGTTTAGCAACATTGGGTCATTCATGGACTTCAAAACAAAGAACTTGTATGATATGTAAAGTATACATATATCCGTCTCTTGCGGACACCAATCTATTTTGAGTGGTGAAATTACAATTACAACCACATGGTTGTGATTTCTTACCAAGGTTTGAAATTATTGCTTTAGTTTATTTCTGTTACTAGATCTACTATTACTAAAATTACATTCCATGTATTCAGTTTTAGATCTACCCAAATGAAAGCCTTTAGACTCTAAAGTTGACCTCCATAATTCAAGTTTTTTCGGAGCTCTCTCTAGTCTTATCCACAAGAATAATATCATCAACAAAAAGCATACACCAAGCTATATTCTCCTGTAAATTTCCAATAAGAGCAGCCATAACTGAAGCAAAAAGATATGGGCTTAAAGCCTGATGTATTCCAACTGACACAGGAAAATACTTGGTCAACCTACTTGTGTACTTCTATAAGAACTTTATGATAAGCTTTTTCTAAATCAACAAAAATCATATGTAGATCCCCTTTGTTTTCTCTATACTTTTTCATTAAGCCTCTCAAGAAGTTATAGCTTCCGTAGTAAATTTGTTAGGCGTGTATCCAAACTAATTTTTGAGAAATTTTCATATCACGTCGTAACCTATGTTTAATTACTCTCTCATAATTTTAATGTATAACCCGTTAATTTACTTCCTCTATAATTTGCACTCTTATGCATCCCTTTTATTCTTAAAATAGGAACCAATAAACTCTTTCTCCACTATGAAACTTTTTTTTTTAGTTTTTAAAATGATATTAAAAAACTTAGTAAACTAAAAAAATTATCAGATCTAAATATTCTCACACTTCTATTGAAATACCATCATGCACTATTATTTTTTCACTCTTAATTTTTTTAAAGCATCCCCAACTTCTATTTTATTAATGCGATGATGGAAATAAAAAACCTATTTTTATTTTTGATATTAAAATCACTAAATTGATCATATTTTCAAAATGTTCTTTGAACAACTTATCAAAATATCTATCCCACTTATGTTGAATATCCTCATCTAAAAAACTAATTTTTAATTTTCATTCTTAATACACTTTACTTGTACTGAATACTTACTTTTCTTATCTCTTTGTTTGGTTAGTTTATATGTATTTTTAATCTTTGTTGTATAATTTATTATAAAGATCATTTGAAATAGAATTTTTAGTATCGCAAATTACTTTCTTAGACTCTCTATGAGTCGTCTTGTATTTTTCCCAATTCTTCATGCTTTTCATATGAACCAATTTTTTATAGCAAACTTTTTAATTTTTTTATCTTTTCCTGAATATTATTATTCCACTGTCAGTTATTTTTATTTATAAAAATTTTTTCTTTTGTTCTTCAAGCATATTTTTTTAACTTGCTTAATAGTACCTGTCACTTTTTTCTACACAGTTTAGCTTATTCATGAACTCTCCAAATTTTAAGATCTTGAAGTTACTCATAAAATTAATTTTATTTGTCTTTTAAGTGACCCAATCTTTAACTATGATATTATTTCGTTTTATTTTTCGTATTGTAATTTTTTTCCTTTAATCCAAAATCAATAATCAATGTTAGCAATAGCAAAATCATAAGCTAAAACAAAACCTAATATAACTTTATCTTTTTTATTAGTCACTCCAAAATTATAATCACCATGAATTTTTTTAAAAATTTTTTATCATTCTACCAACTTGTTCATTTAAATCTCCTCCAATAAAAAAAAAATTTTTGAAGAGGTATTTTTGTATTAATATTTGAAGGTCATCCCAATTTTTTTTTTTAAATATATATCCAAACCTATTTAGGGAGGATAAGCACTTATAATATTAAGAATCTTAGTAATAATAATAATCTTTACAGCTATAATCATAAATCAAATTCTATTAATTTTTATAACAATATCTTACAAACTCTTATCTATAATTACATTGACACTATTTTCAGTATTACTCTTGTCTAAATGTCAAAGTTTAAAACGTAAACTATCAATTTTCTTAGGGTCTGTTTGTTTTGGCTTTTTGAACCACGGTTTGAACCAAAATGCAGTTTTAAGGCGTTTGGATCAGCCGCTTCCATTCCTCCGGCCTGGAACATTGCTTTGCGAATGAATAGTAGCCTAAAGGCAGCTGCTAGCTCGCGTCCTGTGGTTAGGAAATAAAATTCGCGTTATTACCCGCGAGCAAAAACACTCATGCAGCTTCTCTCCCTTTCCTCTTCGTGCCAAAGGCTTCGCCCCCTTCGCCTTCTCTCTCGAGCTGACTCCCCTTGCCTCTCGCGGTTCATTGCCACTATCCGTGTTGTATTATCCGTTACCTTCTCCTCAATCCATGCCTCTTTTTTGTTCCTCTCTCTCCACTCACCTCTCTCTCTTTAGTGGCAGCGGCGGAGGCGGAGGCGGAGACTTCTATGTTTTTGAAGCAATTGAATGGAGGTGACTAATGGCGTGCTTGGTGTAGCAATTCAAGTGTCCTGCTTTCTCAGACACCCATCCAAGAATTTTTTAACATTGTCTTCACTGTAATCACTTCAACTTTTCCTTCACTCAGCGATTCTGCAATAGAAAGACCGTAATAGAAAGACCGTCTTTTGGATCTTTTGGATTTTTTTTTTTTTTGTTTCCTTGCCTTCAAAATTGTAACTTTTTGAGGAAAAAGGGGCAATTACATACATTGAAAGCTTTGTGCTTATAATTAATTTGTTTTTGTGTTCTAGAAATTTGGGAACTTCCTGAAGACAATTGATATTGTTAACCTTTATTGTGTTAGTGGGAAATATTCATTTTTTTTATGAATTCTCAAGTTTTCAAACATTTTCAAAATTATGGATGTGTGTTTTAGGGTTTTTTCAATTCGTTGTTCTCAACATGTTATATTGTCAATGTTGTTGAGATGTCAGCTTTATCCATCCCAATATTGTGTGTTTTGTTCAATTTTATTTGCGAGATGCAATTTTGTTTGATTTGAGTTGTCAGGTAGTCTTTTTAGGCAAGGTTTAGCTTTATTTTAGGGAAATTTACATACATATCACACGATTCCTATGCATTTACATATCTAACACTCGAGTTTTGATATTTCCTAAATACGTAAAGACTCAGCTTGGTGTTCAAAGCTGTGAAGCTACCTGATGGTAGAGATTTCATGAACACATCCACCACTTAAAGATGAGTTGGAATATATATCAAGTGAATAATGCCACCATTGACTTTATCAGGAATAAAATGTCTACTAATCTTAATGTGTTTGGTCCTATCACGATGTACATGATTCTTTGTGGCACTAGTCAAGACTTTGGTGTCATCGAACATCTTTATGGGATTGACTGTGGAGTATCCCAACTCATTTTTATTGTCATTGGATTTATTTCACAGGTAGCACTTTTAGAACTATATTTTTCAAATAGAATTTTACTTTCAAATAGAATTGTGCTATTCAAACAGAACTATATTTATATACTTAAAGGATATTACAGTCATTAGTCAACAAACAATACTTTTAGAATTATATTTTTCAAACAGACCAACTGCTTCTGAAACACTAGCTCGTGAACAACAGATTTTCAACAACAGTTTTTGAACTGACCTTTCTACATTCACAGCTGAAACAAATGCACCCTTATTCTTTTCTCGTACACATTTAATTTCTTGAATACATAAGATATTTATTTTTCTTTGAATAATAATATTTACTCTTCTTGAATACATAAGATATTTATTTTTCTATGAATAATAATATTTACTAAATTCATTAATTTACGTGTGAGAATACTTATCTTCCAAGTTTCCATCCTAATATTATTTTCATGGACTAACTATTTTGCCCACATACTTTCATAATATGCGACTCAAAGCTTACTTAACACTATACCCAGGCGCCAGTGCTTCGACCCTTACACGCTTATCACTATATTCAAGTTATACAACTCGTTGCTTCTAGGGGACGCCCTAACATTAACCCATTAATTTTAAGATTTATGTCATAGTTATTCGACAATTTTTATGATGGTTGTAGACTGCCTAGTGCAACCCTCCACTTCTAACATCCGAACAGAGGAACCAACAATGGTAGTGCTCCTGAATGTTTGTAATGATAATAAAATTTTTTTACTGATGTACCCCACTGGTTTTACTAATGATGGGATAATTATGAAGCAATAACTCAAATTCTTTCTGCTTTATTTAAAACAAATTACTCTGAACGAGTCAAAACATTTTTCCAAAATTTCTATTGAAACTCTTATTGATGGTCAAACATAACTTTTCTTTTTTACTTAATGTCAACTTCTATGGATTTGGTTATGGAACATAAAAATCTAGAATTATTCTTTAAATCGAAAATTTTATTCAAAAATTTTGTTGTAAATCGGACTATAATTAAAGCATATGAGAATCTTCAATCTATTGATAAAATGATTATGACCAAGAAGACAATACTGTCTTAGACTTCTCAAAATAATGAAATTTTATTTAAAACTCTTTATGATAATATCTGATGAAAATTCACCAAAGAATTAGCAGAAAAGCTCGAGAAAAGAATGAAGAACCAACTTGCGGATTTATTTTCAGATGAAGTAAATATGTCTCAATCTACAAAGTTTAAGAGGCCAGTGAGGACACGACTGATAATTGGGAAGTCTTTTCTCAAGCAATAATTCTGAAGTTCTTAATTGCAAAAAGCAACAACAATTTTAAAAGTAAAAGGAAACAAAGCCCACTGTTAGCCATATCCATACCATTCAAATATGCTTTTCAACTCAAATGAAATCAGGTGTTAAATAAGGAATTTTTTTTACCTATTAAGCCGCCACTAAGTAAAGAATCTATCACCTTTAACTGTTCATTGTAATTTGTGCTATGTTTTGAGGTTAGATTGTTTTCATAGTCTGTATATAAAGACAAGTGTGGTGTGTGTCCGTTGAAGCCTTTGTCTAAGTAGCAAGCTATCTAAGTTATAGTTTCAACAGAAGTCGAGCTGTGAGTCTTATAGTCTTATAAGTTTGAAGTTATTGATTTTAATTTTGTTTGATATTCAATATTTTTATTTATTTTTATTTGGTACCT